AACCCAATGTTATTTAAAAATTATGTATATGTATATATATATATATATATATATATATATATATATATATATATATATATATATATATATATATATATATATATAATATATATATATATATATATATCGTTTTTTGTATGTCAGAGTTGCACCGTTTGACCTTTCTGCACCACATCTACAGGTCAATGAGTTATCACATTAGAGCCAAGCTATCATGTTGCCATGGTTACCCATCAATGAGGACCAGTGCAGGTCACTGTCACTTGACCTTCATCTTATCACGCACCTAATTAGTTTGAAATATTCATCCGCATTTTCTAGAGAAGTAAATCGAATCTGACCTAAGCTTACATCGCCGTGCACCGGATGTTGCATGTATTGAGCATTACACGATAACAACACTAAACAAAACCCCTACCCTAACCCTAGGACGACGCTTTTAACCTTAATATGATTGCAAATAGTGTACAGGGGTCACAACACAAAAGGTCAATTTGTTGGACAGGTTTTCGTGCAATACATTTTTAATAGAGAAAATTGTCAGTGATTGGAATGAATGGTAAACTATTTATAAACTAAATATTTTTTCGTTTTGTATTAGAAGAAAAAATTCGCTAGTGTTCTTAAGCCCGTGTGTTGAATAGGTTGTGCTCGACTGAATAGCTAAGTAATTCACTAATGGTAAAATTGAATTCAGGTGTTTTGTCGTTAGTGTTTAATGGGTGTTTTTTTTTTTTGTAAATTTGAAAGTTTCTATTAAATAATTTGTTTATAAATAGTTTATGTGTTTAAATATGTCTTCTGTCAATGTGACTTAAGTGTGTCAATACATGTCTAGAATGTGTCTAAATGTTATAACGTGTCCCAACATGTCTATAAATTTAAATTGCACAAGTCGTATGTGGTGTCCAGTCCACATTTATAAGTTAACATCAGATGTTTATTAAATGAAACTAAGAATTTTCTAGATTCGGCTTAAAATCTATTTTAACCTCTCCCGAAATTCGACACAATTGTGTGTAAACTGTTCACAAATGTTTACATTATTGGGTTTAAAATCTTGGCTAAACCCATGATTGTTTTCTCTATCCCAAAACGAGAATTGTTCCAGTTTGTTTTAAAACTTAAAACCCCAGCAAACATTTTTCTGAACGGACCTTAAGACAAAATCTACAATTCTATTGGGTTATAAAATGTTAGCTGCGACTCAAAGACAGATTCTATCAGCGACATAGAGGCAAGTGTCGCTATTGTATTACAGATACTAGCTGGGACACAGATATAAGTGTCGCAATTGTATTACATATGCTAGCAGCAAAACAGAGACAAGTGTCGCTATTGTATTACAGATTCTAGATGCGACAGAGACAATCATTGCTATTGTATTACATATACTAGCTGCTACACAGCGGCAAGCGTCGCTATTGTATTACAGATACTAGCTGCTACACAGAGACAAGTGTCGCCATTGTATTACATATACAAGCTGCTACACAGAGACAAGTGTCGCTATTGTATTACAGATACTAGCTGCTACACAGAGGAGAGTGTCGCTATTGTATTACAGATACTAGCTGCTACACAGAGACAAGTGTCGCTATTGTATTACAGATACTAGCTAGGACACATAGACAAGCGTCGCTATTGTATTACAGATAATAGCTGCTACACAGAGAAAAGTGTCGCTATTGTATTACAGATACTAGCTAGGACACAGAGACAAGTGCCGCTATTGTATTACAGATACTAGCTTGATCACAGATACAAGAGTCGCTATTGTATTACAGATACTAGCTGCTACACAGAGACAAGTGTCGCTATTGTATTACAGATACTAGCTAGGACACAGAGACAAGTGCCGCTATTGTATTACAGATACTAGCTGCTACACAGAGACAAGTGTCGCTATTGTATTACAGATACTAGCTGCTACACAGAGGAGAGTGTCGCTATTGTATTACAGATACTAGCTGCTACACAGAGACAAGTGTCGCTATTGTATTACAGATACTAGCTAGGACACATAGACAAGCGTCGCTATTGTATTACAGATAATAGCTGCTACACAGAGAAAAGTGTCGCTATTGTATTACAGATACTAGCTAGGACACAGAGACAAGTGCCGCTATTGTATTACAGATACTAGCTTGATCACAGATACAAGAGTCGCTATTGTATTACAGATACTAGCTGCTACACAGAGACAAGTGTCGCTATTGTATTACAGATACTAGCTAGGACACAGAGACAAGTGCCGCTATTGTATTACAGATACTAGCTGCTACACAGAGACAAGTGTCGCTATTGTATTACAGATACTAGCTAGGACACAGAGACAAGTGTCGCTATTGTATTACAGATACTAGCTAGGACACAGAGGCAAGTGTCGCTATTGTATTACAGATACTAGCTGCTACACAGAGACAAGTGTCGCTATTGTATTACAGATACTAGCTAGGACACAGAGACAAGTCTCACTATTGTATTACAGATACTAGCTGCTACACAGAGACAAGTGTCGCTATTGTATTACAGATACTAGCTAGGACACAGAGACAAGTCTCGCTATTGTATTACAGATACTAGCTAGGACACAGACACAAACGTCGCTATTGTATTACAGATCAAGATCCGCTCCATCCCCAAAATCTACATAACAACCAGCTGATGAGCAGATGGGTTTGCCAGTTTTGTGTGGCCACGGGCCATGGGCCACCCGACTCTGGGCCAGGGAAAACAAGTGAGCCCGATTGATATTGATTAGGTATTGTAACAAGGTTAGACGTGCCCAGCAATGGGGAGAGAACCCACGTCTTTACGTATTAAATAAATGGAAGCGCAAAGGGAGGCTAACAGAGTAAAGGGCAATAAGTAAACAAAATTCTATCAATTTTTAAGAAATATTCGGAGTTTCTAGAGCGTATAGAACCATGGGAAAAGGGAAAAATAAAATTCTGAAATTCAAGAAATATTCTAAATTTAATTTTTAAAAAGCTTTTAGCAGATTTTGTATTTGTTTTAGAATAGAGCAGAATTCAAACTGGTTTTATTCAATGAAATAAAACCCATATATCGAAAGAATAAACTAAAAGGAAATAAATTCGAATGAAACCAAATTATCATGAAAATGGGTGAACGGTATCAAACAGATCGGACTCCGGATGATCCATTCAAAAGTTTTCAAATCGTGTGCAGTGTTATGTAGTTAATGTATGTAGTTATAAAAACTGGTTTGTTTGGCTTTCGTAAGACTTTCTATGCATAGACGAGTTTGTTGCTTTTAATATTTTCGGTAACTAAAACAAAAATAGTAAAAAAAAATTTAAAAAAAACTCCAAAACCAATTTTTTGAGTGGCTACTTGGTATATGTAAACAAACATGACGTAAGTAGGTCATGCTGAAGTTTAAAATTAAAATTATTGGGAATTACCGAAAATACGCTCGAATCGTGTTTTCTGTTTATTTAAAGTCTATTTATTATTTATTCATCTAACTAACATTTTTTTTTCCTGCCGAAAGACGAAATTGAAACAAAACACTATGTTAGTTTATGTCAACAATAATAGCTATGTCCCTCTAGTGGGCGATACCATTTTTTTTTCACAACACTCACGCTAACACACAGACAGAAATTATTCCTTAATGTATATATATATATATATATATATATATATATATATATATATATATATATATATATATATATTAAATACTTGAATTAAAGTGTGTTTTTAAAAGTCCGATTATAACTGCAGCAACCATACTGTTGTCCAGGCGATATCCAATCTATTAGTTTTATCATTGCAGAAATGAACTCGTAACCCAACTTTCAACAACAAAAAAATAAGGCTCGTCCCTACATGACGTCATACTCCTAGAGGGACGGCGGATTCTGACTTAGGAGACGAGTGAGTGGGGGGGGGGGGGGGGGTCAGAAAGTGTAACGACACACTTTGGCACTTTAAAATGTTATGTTAGAAACTTAATTTGCCCAATATTTCAAATACTTTAAAATGAAATTTTCTAAAATGTGCAATAAAAATGCATCACTTTACTCAATCTTGACCTGAGCTTATTAAAAAATAATTTATTGTTTTGGTTGTTTTTTTGTTTTAAATTGCAATTTTGAGAAGGCTGGTAGACTGAGGTTTGGTGCGTATCCCAAAGTAGGAGAATCTGGTTTTTTGTGGCTATGTACGACGATGGGTAGGGAAGGGGGATTTAGAAAATCGTTTTCTTCTTCTTCGTTCTTAATTATTAGTGTTGACGGGGATCGAGATTTATCTGCCAGTGGGTTTGAACTCGAGACTTTGTTCGAATTTATCAACCATGAGCTTTTTGCCGACTCGACCACGCCTCCAACACAATTAAGCGTTACGTGTCAACTGGTTATGCGCCATTGAGGCCATTGACTCCGATTTCAGCCTGCTTTTCTTTTTGGATTTGCTTCCATAGCCTTTGTCCAACCAAGAACAAACTACAAGGCAGCAGTTGTTTAATTTTGGAGTTGTCTCTCCTAGAAGAGTGGCTGTCCCCAGCTAACGAGCCTCATCTGCCCGAGGGTTTGAACTCGAGACTTTTCGGTTTAGCAACCATGAGCTTTACCGACTCGACCACGCCGACATTTTTTAACATCATCATCTTTGCCCCATGTGGTCAAGACACACGGGACAGATAAAGTAGAGTTCATCTGTTACAATGACCTCGGCACTATGCTTAGCCGCCTTTTTTCCCTAACTTAAGTTAGGTACCCACCAGAGCTGAGTAAACTCTGGGACGTTCAACTGACTTGAACCCTGAAAAGACTCGAGACTTGCGGTTTAGCAGTTTGGCGTTCTACTGCTAAGCCACCCCGTCCCAAGTAGTCCTTTATGAATGAGCCTTAAACTTTTCCCATCACCGATTCTTGATACGGTTCAACAACATCAACAACAAACGTACACCCACCTGATATAGCCTAGGTACAGACAACAACAACATCAACGACAACAACACCTACCTGATATGGCGAAGCCGCTAAACCCGACAGCCAACGTCAGACAGGCGACCGCAGGGGCTGTGTCCCGGGTGAAGCTTACCCCCAGCAGGAAGATGGCCTCCATCCCAAAACCTGGGGAATAGCAGATGTCAGATGTCAAATGTCAGATCTGGCTAAAGTATGGGGAACAGCAGATGTCAGATGTCAGATGTCAGATCTGGATAAAATATGGCGAACAGCCGATGTCAGATGTCAGATCTGGATAAAATATGGGGAACAGCAGATGTCAGATGTCAGATGTCAAATGTCAGATCTGGCTAAAGTATGGGGAACAGCAGATGTCAGATGTCAGATGTCAGATCTGGCTAAAATATGGGAACAGCAGACAAAAATGACGTCAATTCTACTTAAAACCTGGAGAAACAGACAAAAGTGACGTCAGGTCTAGCTAAAACCTGGGGAAGTAGCAGAGAAAAGTGACGTCATTTCTTAGTTAAAGCCTGAGAAAATATTGGACGAAAGTGACTTCAGGTACTTAAAACCTGGAGAAATATCAGATAAAAGTGACTTCAAATCTGGCTAAAACCCGGGGAGATATCAGACATATGTTACATCCAAAAAATGTGTTAAAAAGTCCAGCTTTAATACCAACAGAAGATATTAAAAGCGTCACTAAAGTACCCTCTATTTAATGTCACATCCCACTACTTCAATCAAGAGATGTCAACATCTATCAATATCTATCAATATCTATCAATATCTATCATCATCTATCAACATCTATCAACATCTATCAACATCTATCAATATCTATCAATATCTATCATCATCTATCAACATCTATCAACATCTGTCAACATCTATCAATATCTATCAATATCTATCATCATCTATCAACATCTATCAACATCTATCAACATCTATCAATATCTATCATCATCTATCAACATCTATCAACATCTATCAACATCTATCAATATTTATCAATATCTATCAATATCTATAATCATCTATCAACATCTATCAACATCTATCAATATCTATCAATATCTATCAACATTGATCTCTGTCTATACAACAACCAAATTTCCAAGTATTCGATATTATCGGTATCTGTCTATATGACACCTAAATTTCCATGTATTCGATACCATCGGTATCTGTCTATATGACACCTAAATTTCCATGTATTCGATACTATAGGTATCTGTCTATACGACCAACTAAATTTCCGTGTATTCGATACCATAGGTATATTTCTATATTACTAACGAAATTTCCGTGTATTCGATACGACAGCTGGCAGTCTCTTATGACCAACTTAATTAGCTTGTATTCGATTACGGGTCCAGTGTATTGTCCAGCGTCGTGGAAATTGTGGAGCAAGCGTGGAGTGGTCAGTCAATATTTCCACTGGTCACTCACTCAATAGAGGTCAATCTGACATCCTATCGCGTCTAATTTGATGTCCGGCTGTCAGACGAGGGGCCATCATGGAGGCACATATTGCCTGGCCGTCCTCTAATTAGGGACCGGAAGTTGGTGCTGACCTTGAGGCTGACCTTGGTCGCTCTTACAGTTCTCGAACAGAAAGGGTTGGGCAGTGTACACCCCACATACATGGGTCAGTACCCACACACCACATACAGGGGTCAGTACCCACACACCACATACAGGGGTCAGTACCCACACACCACATACATGGGTCAGTACACACACCCCACATACATGGGTCAGTACCCACACACCACATACAGGGGTCAGTACCCACACACCACATACATGGGTCAGTACCCACACACCACATACATGGGTCAGTACCCACACACCACATACAGGGGTCAGTATACAGGGGTCAGTACACACACCCCACATACAGGGGTCAGTACCCACACACCACATACAGGGGTCAGTACCCACACACCACATACAGGGGTCAGTACCCACACCCCACATACAGGGGTCAGTACCCACACACCCCATATAGAGGTCAGTACATACCCCATATACAGGGGTCAGTACCCACACCCCACATACAGGGGTCAGATCCCACACACCACATATAGAGGTCAGTACATACCCCATATACAGGGGTCAGTACCCACACCCCACATACAGGGGTCAGATCCCACACACCACATACAGGGGTCAGTACCCACACACCACATACAGGGGTCAGTACCCACACACCACATACAGGGGTCAGTACCCACACCCCACATACAGGGGTCAGTACCCACACACCCCATATACAGGGGTCAGTACCCACACCACATACAGGGGTCAGTACCCACACACCATATACAGGGGTCAGTACCCACACACCACATACAGGGGTCAGTACCCACACACCACATACATGGGTCAGTACCCACACACCACATACAGGGGTCAGTACCCACACACCCCATATACAGGGGTCAGTACCCACACCACATACAGGGGTCAGTACCCACACACCACATACATGGGTCAGTACCCACACCACATACAGGGGTCAGTACCCACACACCACATACAGGGGTCAGTACCCACACCCCACATACAGGGGTCAGTACCCACACACCACATACAGGGGTCAGTACTCACACACCATATACAGGGGTCAGTACCCACACACCATATATAAAGGTCAGTACCCACACCACATACAGGGGTCAGTACCCACACACCATATATAAAGGTCAGTACCCACACCACATACAGGGGTCAGTACCCATACACACCCAACATATAAAGGTCAGTACCAGTGTTTCTTCCAGACTTTTTTCTCCGGGGGGGGGGGCACTTGAAATTTTCGGGGGGGGGGGGGGGGCGGTAGACTTTCTTCGGGGGGGGCGGACACTGTTAAAAGTATATATTTTCTATATAAATTATATAAATTTAATTTCGTTCGGGGGGGCGGTAAAAAAATTTCGGGGGGGCAAAGGCCCCCCCCCCCCCCCCCCCCGAAGAGATGTCTGGAAGAAACTCTGGTCTGTACCTATACAATGATACCCATTGCTTTAGTAGTCCCGCCTTGAGACACATTATTCAAGCTTAGATAACTGAAATAATTTCTTTAAAACACTGCTGTGTCCACTGAACCCTGTTCTTTAACTTTTCAAATTAAAATATTATTTACTTCTAAGTTATATGATCAACAATTTGCATTTAAAATAACAGTATGAATTATTAAATTAAATATCTTTAAATTCATTGAACAAGGACAAAGCAATGTTCAAGATTTTACTAAACACTTCTTAGGTTATTTTCTCATCCCGTTTGCACTTACATTTCGATTTTGTTGATTTTAGACAGAAATTGTGTTTATTACTGAATTTGTGTGTATGTTTGTCTGTTTGTCTATTTGCAATACATTCCTAACGTGATTACAGCTTCTAGTTATCAGACAAGGACAGAGTAGATGTTTAAAAATTATAGATTTTAGACTGCTATAGGGCTGGTAAGTAGGTCGCCAACCAGTTCTACGGCTCAATAAAACCTGCAAGAGTCATAGAACTGGTTGGTGACCTACTTACCAGCCTTATTGTTACGTCGACTATCTTCAATCTCCTGATGATATGTTAGGTGTTCAAACTTTGCCGACGAATGTATGCATTAAATATAGGCATTTTACTGCATGCCGGCACAGTCATGTACACATAATTAAATACGACACTTTTATCGTGGAGATTGATGTATGACATTATTGGCATTTAAATTCAGGATAAACTTGCGGCTACCCATTAACGTAATGTTAGATTTAATTCAAATCTAAAGCTATAGTTTATTTACTACGTTGCTTCTGTTTAAGCAAACTTAGACCAGGGGTCGGCAACCTTTTGAGCCGAAAGAGCCAAAAGTTACAATTTACAACATTATCTGGTTTTTAAAGAGCCACTAATATTTTTATGTCAATAGTATATTTGTTTTTTTATAACGATTTTTTTTTTTAGATTTTTTCGTAATTAAGTAATTTACTGCTCACCACGTATTCAACAAAAAAGTTGTTTTTTTTTCGAAACAAACCACTTCTCCAAGCAAGACATAGGCTGGGTTTTCCTTTCAGTTTTACACTTAGCTGGTTTAGTTTCTTTGTGATATCCTCTATGAAGTTGAATGTTTCAATTCGGAATGGACAATGTAATAGGAAGTACATTGAGATAGGGACTAACTAAATATCCTAATATATAAAAGCCTACGTGCGCACTTTCTAATATAATAGTGAATATTTATTGTTTATATCTTATGTTTTATCGATTATTACCGAGTGTTGCAGACAAATATTTTTATGAATTTTGAAAATAAAATAATTATTAATATTTGTGCATGGAACTGAAGAGCCGCAACTGGACACCAAAAGAGCCGCATGCGGCTCGCGAGCCGCAGGTTGCCGACCCCTGACTTAGACAAATATGTGTGCATATGGCCCAAGTGTGTTTGCTTTTATTTTAATTTATTTATTTTTTTTTATTTTTTTTTTTTTTCCAGTAATAATAATTTATTTGATAGATTTTACACAGCATCAAAGACATGAACATCAATTGCATATATAATAATCAAATGGAGAAAATTAAATGGCATAAGAACTAGACTAAAATAAGGTGTGCAAACTAGGTTTCTCTTGACTGCTTAGTTTACTGTGCTCTGTCCTTAGCTGAGGAGTCAAAAGTTCACATTGTAGACAGAAATAGAAACCACCGTGGGAGAAGTGTCTCTGTAATACACATTACTGATCTATCATTCCAAAACTTTCCATGACATAAAATTGACCCTTGGCAAAGAGGGCACGCTACCTTGAAAAATCCGCCAGTCCGGTTGAGTGGAGGGAAGTGTGTGTGGGGGGGGGGAGGGTGAGGTGTGTATCTCTTTCTACCATTCAGGTTGTGCACTTTTAAAAACCTGGGAAACAGAAGACTGTTCTAATGTTAAATTACTTGGGGGCTGATCGAGTGATGTTTTGCTTGAGACTGTCGATATTAATTATGCATCTAGTTTATTTGCTTCTTCTGTAGTTCCAATTTTAGTTTCCTGTAAAAGTAGGATGTCAATATTGTGTTTATTTATTATGTTGTTTATATAATGTGTTTTGTCCCTAGCCCCCCTGATGTTCAATGTTGCCAGAGTTAGCATGAATTATTTGGGGTTTT